CTCAGTCTGTTCCATGCATGCTTCTATGTTTCTGGTTATATTTGTTCCTCAGTTTCTGTCATTAAAAAGAACCCTAAGATTTTGATTGGCATAACATTGAATCTGTATATCAATTTAGGGAAAGTGGACATTTTTGCCATTTCTCTTCTAACTCATCCCTCAATTACAGATGAGAAAACTGAGCTCCAGAGAGGTTAAGGTATCCTTTTAAAAGCCAAATGTGCGACCTGAGACTTTAACTTATTGCTCTTGCTACATTACTTCCTTGCTTCTCTTAAGTTCAATTCTTGTATAAACAAATGATTTAGTTATCTAACAAAACAAAAGCTCTAATAAGAGCTTTAAGTAAAGTTTCTAATATCCATATTTTCTTTTTTAAAATTGTTTAAATCAGTTCTCTTTCTTTTAGTGGGCTTCATAAAATCCATAAACACCATTAATTTGCATGCAGTTTTAGTTAGGGACATTTGGAGAGAGCCCATATTAATGTCTTGAAAGGATCATGACCCTGCCCCACCCAAACAAACTCAGAAGATTATGAAAGACTAAGTTATAATAATAAAAGCATAATATGCTACTTAGGCAACCTTCCAGAGGAAGCTGGGGCTGTGAGGGAAGCCAGCAGCCGGGGAAAGGAAGGCCTACTCTTGCATGAATTTCGTGCATTAGGCCTCTAGTTTTATATAAGAGAAAAAAGAAAACTTACCTTAATAGAAAAATCTATGTGCAAATTTTGTTTTGTTTTTGGTCTGAATTATTGTAAGTGCAGGGTGAACTTGCTATGTTTGGTAAGAAAGAGTTACTAAGATTTTTGTCTTTGATTTCTTTTAGGTAGGTCATATTAGGCATAAATTGCTCTTATCTCAGTTTTATTAATGAATAGCCTAGTAATACCTCCTAGCTGATTTGTAACACCTGCTTCAGATTTAAAGGATCACTTTATAGATTAAATTTTCTTAAGTTACACACTTCAAAATATACTTCTAGTCTCAAATTACGTGTTTCTAAATTGTGTAACCCTCTCAGTTCCCAGTGCCACCATCCCAATCCAGCCTCAACTGCCTTGTGCATTTGCTTGCTCTTTACATTGCTTTTTCTGCCTTTTGAGTTCAGATTTGTGTGTTTTTTTAATAGGCACCTACTAAATTCAGATTTCCAGAGCTGCTTCTACCCCCTGCACCATTTTGTTTCAACACATGTTGTACCCATTTGTTACATCATTCCTAGATCAGGAACCTGCTTGGGCTCTTCTACCCCCCACATCAGTCTTCAGCTTTGGATAGCCCTCAAAAGTTTCTGAAATGAGTGTGTTAGAGACACATGGATCCTGGTTAACTTTAGAGCTAGTTCTATTAGTGGTAACATCTCTTAATACTTTACAATGATTCCCTCTTTGATGTCTTCGCTCAGTTTTTTCACCTTGGTAAGACTCTTAATTACTTTGCTGCATGATGTTTTTTCTTTAAGCAGCAAATCATGCTAGATTTGTGATGTAACTTCTACTTTACTAATGTTTACATGTGAGGCCAGGGGCAGGAACAGGAACAGTGGAAGAATTCAGGAAAAACTATATTTATGTTTTAACCTGTCTTTCAAGATCTAACCAGGGTTGGTTGTTTTATTTAAATTATTCCACCATTAATATGTGTATTTCAAATTTCAGCTTTATTCTGTAAATGGGATGGTAATAATTTTTTTCTAAACATTTCTTGATGTAGGAAACTCATATCATGCATACCTTCAAAGAGGACTTCTATGGGGAAATCCTCAATGTGGCCATTGCTGGCTACCTCAGACCAGAAAAGAACTTTGATTCTTTAGGTAAGTTCTTAGTTATATTAAGTATCCTTGCAGCTATTTCTGCTTCTATTAGTAATAACCATGGCAGTACAGATAATATTTGAGCATTTAATATGTGCCTTACATGGATTAACTCATTTTATCCTCACAACAACCATATGAGGAATTATTCTTTTTTACTTAAGTCTGGAAGAATGGGTAGAACAATTACTAGGCAACTATCCTGTTCCACAGACACAGCCAGCCTTGAGGGGAGCATTTTGGAGAGGTTGAACATAGGAGTAGTAAGAAGTATAGCAGCAGTTCTCATTATCTTTATATTCTCTCGCAGAGTCACTTATTTCAGCAATTCAAGGTGATATTGAGGAAGCTAAGAAACGACTAGATTTACCAGAGCATTTGAAACTCAAAGAAGACAATTTCTTCCAGGTTCCGAAAAGCAAAATAATGAATGGCCACTGATGAAAAATCATCTTACTTATTCATTCATTGTTCTCTAAAATCCGACAGCTGTGACTTAGTTTAAGCAGTACAATGTAATTATTATTATGCTTCATGTTCAATTAAACCCATCATGCTACAGTACTAACAATATTCATTTTAAAAATCCAGATTTTGTCTATGTAATATGTTGACTAAAATTTACCACTAGAAATAGCAAGTGTTTTATAAGGGAAATGAAATGTATAAAGCTATGGGTAAAAAGACAAGTCACTAGTTTGAAATGAAAACTAACTATAGTAAAAGACTAGCGTGTATGTACTTGTATAGCATGTGCTGCTAAACAGAAGGCTTTTAAAAGTAAATGTATTAAAACAGGTTTGATATCTTATAAGCCTAAGAGGGAAAACTCACACATTGTATTTTTTATATTTTGTGCATTAAAATATTACTACAAACATAAATACTCATGAAATTTTAATTAGTCATGACTAATTTTCTTTATGGAAAATTAGAGGTCAAATCATTATATCATGTTTTTTTTTTTTTTACATCTGCCGCAGCTATGATTGGTCTGGACTCTCTGCCTATCAGTTATTTTGGTCTGTCTTTTAAAACATTAAAATGAGTGTATTTTGAATTTGTAGGTTTCATTTTTGTATTGTATAGCACTGTTCTCTAAGAGTAGATATTCAACATTTTTTCTTGACTTTGATTATTTTTTTCCTTTAAACAATCGCATGTCAAGTTTTTTCCATTTAGAATATCCTCTGACTTGCAAAGGATTGCATCTATCGCCACCATTCCAGCGTTCACTATATGAAAACCCCCAAAAGCTTCATCTTTAGATTTACTCAAAGTCTAAGTGAACATGTAGCACTTCGTTTATATATGCCAGTTTCTTAAAGAACACAAAACACTTTTTTCCTCCTAGGGAAACTGTTTATGAGCCAATTAAGCTATGAAATAGAAAATTATTTATATTTAATGTGATGGTATGTTCACATAATACAGCAAACTGTTGTAATTGTGTATGCACTTGTGATTTAATGATAGAGTGCTTGTAGCTTGGGGGTAAACTATAAATAATAAAGTCTTAGTTTCATAATGTTCATACTGTGCGTTTTTTCTTCCTAACAACTAAAGTGATTTTTGGTCACTGGAGACTTTTGTTTATATTGACAGAAGTTAAAAATCTTTGGATGCTTAAGAGATTGATTACAGAGTCTTTTGGGCCCCAGAAGCAGTACATTGATTGTATTATTCACTTGGCATCAGATTTGGTTGGGATGGAGACAAAGGTATATAGAAGGTAATTTTAAAGATAACTTATTACAAGTCCTATTTCCCTAATCTGCACAGAGAACTGATTTTAACAAATATTGGGTATCTATAATAATAAAAGCATAATATGCTAATTAGACCAGACGACCTTCCGGACAAAGCCAGGGCTGCGAAGGAAGCCCGGGTCTCAGGTGCCAGAGGGAAGCCAGCAGCCGGGGAGAAGAAGGCCTACTCTTGCATGAATTTCATGCATCGGGTCTCTAGTTTATAATATTTAAAGTTAATGTTGGAGAAGGGGAAGCATGGATAAATTCATGGCAAACAATGTATCTTTTTTTTGTTAATCCTCACCCAAGGATATTTTTTTCTTTTTTTAGAGAGTGGAAAGAAAAGGAGGGAGAGAAGAGAAACATTGATATGAGAGGAACATCGATTGATTGTCTCCTTCACGATGCTTGACTAAAGCTGGGAATCAAGGTTTTTATTTTTTTGTGTATTTTGGCTAAGGCTTTATTATTCGGGGACAGTAGTGGCCTTGGTTGATTTTGAGCAGCCAAGGATAACTGAACAAATAAGTTTCTTTTCTCTCTCATACTCTTGTCCAACGAGCCCATATAGTTGAGTTCTAAGTTATAAACACAAATATTCAGTGCACTGTGTCATCTTTTGTCTTTTCCATAGCAGACCTAAGCCTCGAATGTTATTACCATTTGAATTGGGAATCTGACTGGTCACAAGTAACAGAAATGGATTCTGGCTGATCTGAGCAGGGAAGGAATTTATTGGGAGAATCATGGTTAGCTCAGGAAATGGATAGGAAAGCTGGAGACTGGGTGAGAAAAGGGGACCTCTGAACCGAAGGGTCAGAACCGGAGCCAAAGTCACACCACAGAGCCAGTTCATTGAGGACAGTGCCACCAAATGCCACCAGAAACACATCCTCCACACTGCTGGCTGCCCCTGTTCCAGAAAGTAATCTTTATACAATCAGAATCTTATTGGTCCAGCTTTGGACACCTGTTCAAGTGTTAGCTGCAAGGGGGGCTGGGAAACTGAGTATCTGGCTGTTTCAGCTTCTGTACAGAGACGTGCTTTTCTTTTTTCTTATTTTTTTAAAAAATATATTTTATTGATTTTTTACAGAGAGTAAGGGAGAGGGATAGAGAGCCAGAAACATCTATGAGAGAGAAACATTGATCAGCTGCCTCCTGCACGCCCCACACTGGGGATGTGCCTGCAACCAAGTTACATGCCCTTGACCGGAATCGAAGCCAGGACCCTTGAGTCTGCAGGCCAATGCTCTATCCACTGAGCCAAACCGGTTCTGGCCAGAGACGTGCTTTTCCACCAAGACGCATACAGTGGGAGACAATTCTCTACACATAAGGAGGTGGTTAGATAACTGGGCAGTTAAAGAAAAAGACATATCTAGCACCCTTATCTAACTCTGAAGGAAATGATAACCTGAGTACATGCTGTCCATGCACTTTTTCAGCCATTCAAAAAAAGCATTTCTTACGCTAAGTTAGAATGTTCCAGAGACTGATAAAACCTTCTTAATCTGAAGAAGAAGGAAAAGTATATAACCTATAGTGTTTCCCTTTTTTATCTTGCTTTGTGGGAAGCTCAGGGCTGATGTCCAATCATAGGAGCTCTAATAACTACCAAAACTGATTTTCAAAATGTTCTGCAAAGATCCTGAGGGCCTCTTGGAAGTGCCCTGGGTGAAGGGCAAGCAAGGGAAGCTCTGCCCCTGCTCACCCTGCGTACTTTAACTGTTTTATATCTGTGGGTTCTACTGAAGACTGCATTTGATTAAAGGCCTCCATTGCTAGGTTATACTTAAACTTCTGTTTGAATTGATTAGCTTACTTGCCTCTTCCTCTCTCAAAGTTCCCATTCTCTATTTCCATGCCAACCATTTCATTTTGTATACATAATAGCACCATAAGCACTTTTCTGGAAGCAAAGGGAACATAAATTCTAAAAAGGGGAATTTCCTGGTGTGGGTTGGATCCACTAAACAAATACCTATTGCTGAGTCACTCATGGGAATTCCTGGTGAATGTCAGGGTCCCTGTAGGCCTCTCTGAGCCTTCAAAGTATTTTCCATAGCTGCCCAGCGAGTTGTTTTGCTTATGGATTTGCTGGTGTTTTCAATTTATTAAAAGTTCCCCACATCAGTACAGTGTCTCTGTCAAATGAAGTTTTTTATTATGTTTTTGAATCTACTGGACCCCAAAACCCCTAATAATATTCTGCTTTTTCACCCATATTTCCAAATGAGGATTTTCACCTGGCCCTCAGCTTGACCAGCTAGACCTGTTTTCTACTGTTTCCTATAGATTTAATTTGAATACTTTTTTGAAGTTTTAAAAGATGGAAGAAAGTGTTCAGATTCTGTCCTTTTTGAACATTTATTTTCTTCCTTTTCAGACAGTCTTGCAAAGGAATGGATAATATGAAATATCTATTACTACAGCAGCTTAGCTACATTGAGGATATCATGCTCTTTGTAAGAACACAGTTTTAGCCCTGGCCAGTGTGGCTCAGTGGATAGAGCATCAGCCCTCGGACTGAAAGGTCCTGGGTTCAGTTCTGGTCAAGGGCATGTACCTTGGTTGCAGGCTCGATCCCCGGCTTGTGCGGTAGGCAGCCAATCCAAGTGTCTCACATCGATGTTTGTGTCTCCCCCGCCCCCCAGCTCCCACTCTCTCTAAAAATCAATGGAAAAATATCCTTGAGTGAGAATTAACCAAATCCCAAGAACACAGTTTTAAAAGTCAAATACAGATACATTGAAATTTCAGAAATAGTATGTAAGTTCATGGAGATTCAAGAGATAGGTTATTACATTCTCTCCATTTCATCTACTGACCAATGGGAAGTGTTAGCGTTTGTAACAACAGGAGCTTCAATGTGCCTTTATTTGCGTCACTTCGTGGTTCCCCACTATCAATTAGATGTTACCACACTTCAGATGAAGAAACTGAAAGTCAAAGAGAAACTCAGTGACTCAAACTGCACAGGGAGAAAATGCCATAGCTGAGTGTGGAACCCAGGTCTTCAACCTCTTTCCAGAGGGATACCGTCTTAGTAGACTCAGGCGTGGTTGCCTGTCCCTGTTGGGGTTGTGCCCATGGGCCCTGGGGAGCTATGGATGGTGGAGTGGTAGGTGATTTCGAGGCCCACTAGTTAGCAGCTTTCGCAGGACATGGCAGCTCACCCTGTGCTTGTCTCTTGTTTCTACTGGCCCGAATGTTTTGGGTGCAAGGATAGCATTAGCAAAACTAGAGATCAAACTTTTGGCAGAGGCATCAGAAAGGCAGAAAGTTCATAAACACATACCCTTAATCCTCTTGACCGTGGGCAGGAACAAGGTCTGGCTCCGGGGCAATCGGGACGTGACACGGATCCAGGGCACCCACTGGATCAGGAGAGTCAATTATGTCCAGGAAGAGTGCCCAGGCTTAAGCCCTAAGCCCCTGGCAAGCTCCTTGGGCTACTTGTTATAAGTTATTTCATTGACATCCATCTTTTCCCCCCCTGCACAGTTCTATTATACACAGACTTTGACAACAAACGCAGGTACCCTAGTAATCTGCAAACTGATCATTCCAGATTCCAAGCCTGTGCTCATTTTCTCCCTATTCCCTCCGCTTATCCATAGCCCACCCATCTGTAAAATCATGTGAATGTGAAACTCTTCTTATTCCTGGAAGAGCCTGTCAAGGGTAAAATCTTTGCAGTAGATAATGCTAAATGCCCTGTATTGCAATACTAAGCCCTAAAAACCAAGTTCATGCTAAGAGAAGGAATCCTGTTCTGCCCTTCTCCTTCCTCCTACTTAAAGAGGAGTGGGGTTGAAGGGGGATGGATTCCTTTGGAGATAAATTTCAGTATGCTCTGTCTATCCTCTTCAAGGGTATATCTATCAGAGCATGTGCCCATTGGGAGGAGGGACATGAGGATTGTATGAGAAACTAGCTATATTGGCTTTAGGCAACAGAGCAGGGAGAAGGTGGCACATTTGCTCTCGGTGGAGGGGGAGAGGGAAGGAGGCAGATGTGTCTGGAGCCATACCTGGAAGAAATTACCCAAGGTGGCAGCCTGGAATGGCGAGGTGACTCAGAAGAGGGGCAAAGGGAATATCCAGAAGCTCAGGTCTAAAGAGCCTAGAGCAGGAGTGGGCAACCTTTTTGTGAGTGCGTGCCAAAACCAGCAAAATGTCTGACTCAAAATTCTTCTGCGTGCCAACCCTAATTTTTTGAGAACATGTTACGCCTACTTGATATCTCTTAAGGTGTATGTATGTGAAGAACCTTGAAGAAATAATAAAATTCATTCGAGTGACAAAAACACAGTATATGATGATGAAAAATACATTTATTTTTTAATGTATACATGTACACTGATAGTCCGACAGAAAACTTTATGACTCCGTTTGATATTATCAGTGGGACTTTTGCTGCTGCATCACTGATGACAGAGATTTTACATCAGGTTTATATTTCGTGACCTTCAGAGATATGCACGAGCTACTACTTTCATCCGTCAGGCTACTCCTATTATGAGACTTAACAAAATTCATCACTGAGAACAAAGATTCACAAGCGTATGTGGATGAAACCAAAACACTGGTTGGATCTAGGAAGGCAGGGAGAGTTAAGGCAGAGGCATAGAAATTGCTCTTCCCCTTTCTCGTCAATCCATGTCTATGGTCTTTAAGATAACTTGTTATGTAAAATTATTTATTTATCTAAGATGCACCTACACTGAATTTATCTGAAAAATAAAAAAGTCAATATCAAGAAAAAAATTGTAAATGGAAGATTATAAGAGAGGGTTTCACATGCTAGCAAAAGTTACTGGCGTGCCATGTTTGGCACGCGTGCCAGGGGTTGCCCACCCCTGGCCTAGAGGAACCTTTGGACACACCACAGACATTGCAATTGAGTTGCCCCAGAAGGAAAAATTCAGAGAAAGAATCTACTTTAAGCTCAGCAAGCTCAGGTGTCAGCCAGGTAGGGCTGGGCTCTTTCCCTTAACCCAGAGTTTTTAAACGGTGTGTCATAAAATCCAACTAGTGGGTTCTGATCAGCTTCATTAGAGCATGATACAATATGTAATTTAGATAAGTATTGTTTCCTGCAACTTGTGCTTCAGGTTTATAAATAGGTGTTGGTGTGTATTTTTTCTCTTACTGTGGATCGCAGTCCAAAAAAGTTTGGAAGCTCCTGTTTTTGTTTACTCTCCTTGTGTTTGGTTCTGGGGGATTAGGCCGCTGCAATCTGGGAGATTAGAAACGACCTCTGGAGCCAGTTTCTATGCTGTTTATCTTGCCTCTCTGTGGCTTAGTGTCTTATCTGTGAAATACTGGCCAACAATAGTGGCTACTTTATAGGGCTGTTATGATGGTTAAAGGGATTAAACAAACTGCTCCATGTAACCTGCTTTCTTTAAAAAAGATTTTTTATTGATTTTTCAGGGAGAGAGAAACATGGATGTGAGAGCAGAACATTGATCGGCTGCCCCCTGCATCCCCCTACCAGGAATCAAGTCAGCATCCCTGGGCATGTGCCCTGACCAGGAATCAAACTGGCAATCTTTTGGTGCACGGGATGAAGCCCAACCAACTGAGTCACACCGGCCAGGGCAAAGTGCTGAAAAACTGTATGTACTTGATAAATGCCAATTATTGTTGTAATAGTGGTCCCCTGGCCAAAGGTAACATTGTAATTGCCACCATCTTGAGAGGACCCAGCAAATTGTCCCTTAGGTTATAGTATGTAGGGTCCAGTGTTATTCATCTGTAGACGATGATTTCCGGGAGCACATAGGCACTGCACAAATATTTATGGGACAACTACTGTGTAGTAGAATTCTGCTGTGCACTGGGGTACAAAGTGGAATGAGGTGATGTCCCGGATGTTGAGGAACAAGTCTCCCAGAGCAATTCCAATTTATTTGACGTTATCTCCATCATCCCATGTGGTGCCTGGTATATTTTAGATCTCCAGGAAATATGTGTTGAATGCCTTTCTGTGGGAGGAATCATAAACTCTTTACCTCACCCAGCTGTAGGAAATAAGGGAGCACCATGCCCTTCATTTTTTTCTGGTACCTTCAGGATGTGGAGGAAAGAACAGCAAATGCCCAAAGTAAGAGTCTACGTTTGAGGAAAGATGAATATGTTTCTGTAAACATCCTCTGGTGTCCATTTCACAGTGTTTATTGAAAAAAATTTTCAGGAAAGGAATGAGAAAGGAAACAGATGGCACCAAACAACAGAGAAGAAACTTACAGATTTCTTCTGTCTTTGCTGCTCAGAGCAGCTGGCGAGACAGTAGGAAAAAGAGCAGGGGTTGCCCTGTGGCCTCCTGAATCATTCATGTGGTCTCCTCCCTCCTTTCCAACATCCCCTTCCTTCACCCTGCAAACAGCTCTGATGTCCCAGCAGAGGAAGGTCAGGTGGGGTGAGGACGGCCAGCCCCTCCTCCTACCGCCTCCTGCCAATTAGGCAAAGACTTCTAAGCAGGTTACACACAAAATTAATAAATAACGGGGTGTTTGTTTTTTGTTTTTAGCCCAGAAGTAGAAGAAACCAGGAAGATTTTTTTTTAAAGTCTGATATAGGACAATGTAAAGCCCTCCCTACCTTGGAAGGAGTATAAAGCTGCACATAGGTGAGGCCCAATGGCAGAATGTGTGTGCCTTTTGTCTTTGATTTTATTTTTTAAAATTTTTATGAGTTTATTTGAACCAAACTGATGCCAATGCTAGGAAGCAAAATCTCAAATGCTCTCGTATGTGGCTTTTTTTTTTTTTTTAAAGGGCCAAGAATTACCTTTTAAAATGGCCAACAGTAAAGGTTTACACTCAGTTCTACAGTTTACAAGTTTACTATATACAAGCACAGCCATATATATACATTATCTCAAGTGACTCGGCCAGCGTCACACAGAACCAAGATAGAAAGGAAGATATCTTGCATTTGAAAACCAGGTCTCTTTGAATTAATTCTCTGTGTCTTGGAAAGAAATTCTTCTTCCATATCAAGCCATCTTCCTCAGTGCTTTCCTTCTATCTACATGTTCTATGGATCTTAAAAAGCTCTTCATTCCTTATCCCCAAAGCTGCCAAAATTCTTTGACCTTGGGGGTGGAGGTAGATTCAGAAGCTGATGCATTTTACAAGTTTCACAGTGCTCCAAATATATTAAAGTTCACGGTCAGCTTCACAGGAGGGTCTTTTGGGCAATTGCACAGGAACTGATGTTTTAGAAGGGCCTCATGCCCTGGCCAGTGTTTCTCAGTGGTTAGAGTGTCAGCCCTTGGACCAAAGGGTTATGGGTGTGATTCCCAGTCAAGGGCATGTACCTGAGTTGCAGGTTCGATCCCTGGCCCTCGTTTGGGTGAGTGCGGGAGGCAACCCCCGCCCCCCCCCCCGCCCCCTTCTCGGGCATCTCAAACTTCCTCCTTCTCCCTCTCCCTTTTTCCCTCCCTTCCACTCTTTCTAAAAATCAATGGAAAAATATCCTCGAGTGAGAATTAACAACAACAAAAAACAACAACAAAAAAGGGCCTCAGGCTTAGTTCTTAGGCCACTTTCCAATCCTGTATTGTAAGGGGTTTCCTACATGGATTCAAAGTAAAAGTGACATAGGGAAAGACTGGATTGCTGTCCTCTTTCCTTTTCCAATGTTCTCAGCACTCCTAAGATTACCTATGGCAGTGTTTCTCAACCTTCTGGCCCTTTAAATACAGTTCCTCATGTTGTGACCCAACCATAAAATTATTTTCGTTGCTACTTCATAACTGTAATGTTGCTACTGTTATGAATCGTAATGTAAATATGTGATATGCAGGATGGTCTTAGACGACCTCTGTGAAAGGGTCGTCCGGCCGCCAAAGGGATCGCGACCCACAGGTTGAGAACCACTGACCTATGGCTTTGTAGCCAAACTCTAACATTTGAGTTTTTGAAGACTTGAGAGAAAGGAGGGGTTTCTTGTATAAGCCTGAATGCTCTTAGACAATCAAGGTATAAATAGGATTCTATTAAGAAACTGTTCTGCTGGGATTGGAACTATGATTGCTTTTTAGAGAATGAAAAACTATGGGGAGATAAACATTTCATTAAAGGTCAAGCATTTGGCCAATGTGTTTATTGAATGTATGGCCCTTTAACAAAAACTTGGATCACTTCAGTGAAAATTGAGTTTAATTTTCTCCTGATTTTGGAGCAAATCACTGTTTGGGATTCTGAAAGAACAATCTCCAGTTTCTCTATCTGCTGAGAAAACATGTAAGAAAATCCAGTTAATGATCTGGTTACTTAACACCACTCATTCGAGTGTATTTGTTTTGCCAAGAAGAAAGCCTTGTGAACAATAATTGGGTGTGTCTTTGGTTCCAGATTATTGTATAGAGCAAGTAGTCTACTTTTTTTCCCCCTCCTGTAATCTTCACAAATCCTTTCAAAATAGTAGGTTTATGGGAGGGAGACTATTAAGGAGCTTTCACTGCTGCTAAAATGACATGGGAGGGAGTAAAGGGGAAAAATAAAAGAGGTTGTACTTAGGAGTAGTTTATGAATGGATGGAATGAGATGTTTTGTTTTTTTTTGTTTTTTAAGATGTATTTTTGGAACTGAAGTGAGGGCATAGTTGGTCATTCTGGTACTAAGCCAATATTTTTTGACATTTGTGGTACTTCCCTTTTTTTTTTTAAGGCTCATTATTGTCTTGAGAACAAGAGCACAAGAAAGAAATGATGTAGGGAGAGAAGGTAGGGTCCAACAAAGATACCATCTGCTTGCTCTATTTATTGGCCTCTACTAACTTCAAGGAGCCCAGGTCTGCCTGAGGACTAACTAATGCCCTTTATCGCATGTAGTTGAAATTGACCCGTGACTTCAAGGTCAGGTGAAAAGTGCTTGCCATTTTGCAGACCACAGGAAAGTCGAGGTGGAGACTTGCTGCCCAGGGTTACTGAGCTCTTCATGTCCCATTTATTCTCCTAAACACTTTCCTCAACTTTTCTCCCAAAATAGCATAGATGCAACAATTTGCTTTTTCTAACATTCTCTGTGTTCCAATGATTTTATTGTTTTTTCCTTGAATTGTTGCTTTGCTTGCATTCTCCCTCGTTTTATTTGTACACATGTCTGGTTTTCTGCCTCAATATTGAGCTCTTTGGGGGCAGACAATGTTTTTTATCTTTGCTTTCTACAGTTTATAGCTTGCATAATCCACATAGGCTTGTAATTTCAGAAATACACTTGAAATGGTATTATACATAAACTTTTATTTCTTGCTTATTTTTTTACGTGTAACCATTATAGCATATTTTGTGTAGTTTTTACCAATTTACGTTTAAAGTGCTGTGAAGTAGTTTTAAATTATAAACAAAAACAAACTTTATTTTTGTGAACACTTCGGTTCTGTTTATATTTTCCAGCAAGGAATTGGTGAATTCAAATAGAACAAACATTGAAAAGACTTGACATATTTTGCTAAATTGATTTCCAAAAGACTTTGGTAGGCAAATCCTAAAATAGCCCCTCAGGATTCCTCACTCTAATGCCCAGGACTGTGAATGTGATGAGGTATCATGCCTACAATTATGTTGCATTAAAACCAAAGGGAGATTGGGCCTAATCTAATCGCATAAGCCTTTTAAAAGCAGAGTTTTCTCCGGCGGGTAGCAAGAGGGAAAGTCAGGAAGATTCTGAGCCTGAAGAGGATTCAATGCATGAATGTCAGCTTTAAATGGGAGGAAGGCTGGCTGCCACGGCTTAGTGGTTGAGGGTTGACTTATGAACCAGGAGGTCATGGTTGGATTCCTGGTCAGGGCACATGCCCGGGTTGTGGGCTCGATCCCCAGTAGGGTGCATGCAGGAGGCAGCAGATCAATGATTCTTTTTCATCATTGATGTTTCCATCTCTCTTTCCCTCTTCCTTCTTTTCTGAAATCAATAAAAATCTATTTAAAAAGAAATAAAATAAAGGGGAGGAAGGAGGGACATTCACAAGACCAGAGAGTGGCTTCTCAGAGCTGAGAGTAACTCCTGACCCACAGCCAGAAAAGCAAGTGGGGACCTCAGTCTTGCAGCCACAGGAAACTGAACTCTGACAGCAACCTGGGTATCTTGGAAAAAAATTATTCCTCAGAGCTTCCAGGTAAGAGCCAGCCTGGCTGACACCTTGATTTTGACCCTAGGAGACCCTGTTAAATTTGTGGTAGGTTGTTATGCAGTGATAGAAAATGAATACACTGGCTTACTCTTATCAAGTAATACATGAAATTGTCCATGTCACTACAGTGGCAGTGAATAGAACTCCATAACTGTGTGCTATATTAAAAGTCTTTGCTAAGACATTACTGATTAAATTTGTTTTTCTTTGATTGCTGGTGGGAATGAACAAAAAGTAATGATTTTGTGGCCTACTGATAACATTGGAGTGGAGGCACTAATGAAGAAAAAGTCAGGAAATTCTGGGTGAGAGATTTGATATTGAGAGAAAGAAAACAATTACGGAAGAAAAGATTCTATCTAAAAAGAGTGGTGTGTTGAATCTGGTTTGCCCCAGCTTGTGAAAGCAATTGCTAATTTTAAAAAAATATATGTTTTTATTAATTTCAGAGAGGAAGGGAGAGGGAGTGAGAGATAGAAACATCAATGTTGAGAGAGAATTATTGATTGGCTGCCTCCTGCACACCCCCTACTGGGGATCGAGCCTGCAACCCAGGCATGTGCCCTTGACCAGAATCGAACCTGGGACCCTTCAGTCCAAAGGCTGATGCTCTATCCACTGAGCCAAATCGGCTAGGGTGCCAATGTTAATTTTATACTGGGGATCCTGCAACCCAGGCATGTGCCCTTGACCAGAATCGAACCTGGGACCCTTCAGTCCAAAGGCTGATGCTCTATCCACTGAGCCAAATCGGCTAGGGTGCCAATGTTAATTTTATAGGAATTTTTGCAAGTTAGTTGTTAGGCACAGCTATTATTAAAAATTAAGTTATAAAACTTTCAAGTAAAGAAGTTATATTAAAAACTCATCACCCCCTTGTTGTTTTACATTGATTATTAGCTATACTCTTGAGGTTGCTTGTATCAAATGCATCTGTATGGTAGAAACACTATATAATGGTTCACCTCTCTACCTTTCCTCCCAACTCCAAATTAAGTGACATCACAGTTGAAGCTTGAAATTGGCAATGATGGGAGTATTTATACCATGGAAACTGTCAAATGCCTTTTTTGAGCCGATGAGATACCACAGAAGTTTTTCTGAGACTTGGATCAGAGTAGGGCCTTTTTCCTATTGGATGTGGACCCAAAAGGATGTGACGCCTGGCACCCTGGCAGCCATCCTGCCAATGTGAGGAGTGACTTCCAGTGAGAATGGAGCCAACATAACAAAAGATAGAAGGGAGAGATAGAAATAAACCAGTGCCTGATATCATGGTGTGAGCCCTATTTTCAGCAGTACCTCATCCCACTTCTAGCCCTAGACTTTTTGATTAAGTGAGCCAATAAATTCTTTTTGTATTTAAACTGGTTTGGGTTGAATTTTGTACCATTGGTAACTGAAAGCAGCCTAAAGGATGCAGTAGAATTTGTATGTGGCCCAGGATCACTCCTAGCCACCAAAAAGAGTTGACTGATAAAAGTAATTTAGAAGGATGGTAATCCTGACCTCAATCTTGTTCTGTTCTCGTATTATAATTCTTTGTTTGACAAACATAATTGCCTTATTTAAGGGTTTAATAAGCCTTGTATATATTATTTCCCTTGCAGGCTGAGATCAGTTTTTATCAATAAACACTTGGTTAGAGTGGGAGGCATTCTTCTCAGACTATCTAACAGCTACCCTGTCCTATCCTTCTTTTCCTTGATATTGAAAAGCTTTTATTCTGTGTGGCAAAGCTCCAGAAGATGAGTCATGATTTTTCTAACCTCCTCACAGCCATCTCATTGCCCTTTATCAGATACTAGGGACCCAGTGCACAAATTTGTGCACCTCGAAAGGCACTGTGGGCCAAGAGGCTGCAGTGGGCACAGGGGCGGGTCTTGGTCCACCCTCCGCACCCCCACCCAACCCCTCCTGTCACGGCCCCTGGTCCCCTGTCTGCTGGCAGCCCCACTCTCACCGCCGCTCCCACGTGCTGACAGTGTGGAGCAATTGGGGCTTGAGCCAGCAACAGGTGCAAGCGGCGGCTGCTGCCCTGATCACCCCTCAGGAGCAGGGGGAGGTGGAGAAGCCCTCAGGGATGATTGGAGCCAGCAGCCTCCACTCTCACCTGCTGATAGTACCGAGCAATTGGGGCCAGCGCTAGGCACCAGCAGCAGATGCGAGTGGCAGATCCAGTGCCAGCAGCGGGTGCAAGCAGGGCCGGCATCAGCGGCAGGTGTGAGCAACCAGTCGGACTGTGGCACATGGGAGGAAAGAATTTTTAGTAACCACCAGAGGCTTGCCCTGATGACAGCGACTGGTGCCCCACCTTGGTTGGGTCCCCCCACTTACCTGCTCCACCATCCCATTGCAGCTAATGCCCACCATGTTCCTTGCTCTGCCACCTGCTGCCGACACCTGCCATGTTCTGCGCGTGCCCCCTGGTGGTCAGTGCACATCATAGCGACTGGTTGTTCGGTTGTTCTGCTGTTCGGTCTATTTGCATATTAGGGTTTTATATATATAGATAGTTGACTCTTGAACAACTTGGGGGATAAGAGGGACCAACACTCTCAAACATGAAGATCTGCTTTTAACTTTTAATTCTACAGTAGGCCCTGCACATCTGAGGTTAACCTATGCATGTGGAACCCACAAAGAGCCAAATAAGAAATTTAAAAAGGTATAAATAAATAAGTCTATAGAATAATAATATAAAAAAGGAAGTTATTTTTGTACAGCTGAACCATGTGGGTTTTTAAAAAATATATTTTTATTGATTTCAGAGAGTAAGTGAGAAGGAGAGAGAGAGAGAAACATCAATGATGAGAGAGAATCATTGATGGGCTGCCTTTTGCATGCCCCATACTGGGGATCGAGCCTGCAACCCATGCATGTGTCCTGACCAGGAATCAAACTGTGACCTCCTGGTTCATAGGTCGACACTCAACCACTGAGCCACGCCAGCCCAGCAGGATTTTTTTTTTTTAATTCTCACCTAAGGATATTTTTTCCATTGATTTTTAGAGTGAAAGGGATGGGGGGGGGGGGAGAGAGAGAGAGAGAGAGAGAGAGAGACAGACATCAATTGGTTGCCTTCACGTGTGCCCCAACTGGGACCAGGGATTGAATCTACACCCCAGGTACATGCCCTTGATGGAATCAATCCTGAAATGCTTCCATGCATGGGCCAACTCTCTAACCACTGAGCCACTGACCAGGGCTTTGACGCTCTAACCACTGAGCACCGGCCAGCACTACAATGTGTCTTTTAAGCTAAGTGTTTTTATAAAGTAAAAAAGTTATGGGAAGCTAAGGTCAATTTATTATTGAAGAAGAAAATACTTTTTTTTTTTTTTTTTTTTACAAATTTAGTGTATTTTTTTCTACAGTATTTATAAAGCCTATAGTCGTATACAGTAATGTCCTAGGCCTTCACATTCACTCACTACTTGCTCACTGACTCATCCAGAGCAACTTCCAGTCCTGCAAGCTCCATTCATGGTAAGTACTCTATACAGGTGTACCATTTTTAATCTTTTATATTGTATTTTTACTGTAACTTTTCTATGTTTAGGTATGTTTAAATACATAAATACTATTGTTATAATTATCTATAATATTCAGTATAATAACATGCTGTACAGATTTACAGCCTAGGAGCAATAGGCTATACCATTAGCCTAGGTGTATAGTGGGCTGTACCATCTAGGTTTCTGTAAGTGCACTTTATGATGTTCACACAATAATTAAATTGCCTAACAATGCATTTCTGAGAAAGTATCTCCATCATTAAGTGGTGCATAATTGTACTAATGCATAAAAAGTGCTCAGAAATAGTCTGTTAATAAGTTCCCATAGAATTATCTTATCTTGATTTAATTTTATTTCCAATTTTAAAATTACTTTCTATAAACTGGAACCTCCCAAGCTCTTGCTCAGCCTCTTGATGTGTTTCCAGTCTACAAGGATGCTTTTAATATTTCCAAGTTCTTTGCAAACAAAGAAAACCAAAGAATGACTTTGTTTTCCAAACACATATTTACCTATTTAACAGTTGTTAGCACAGTATGCAACGTAAGTCTGAGAATAATGTGGCAGACTAAAAACAAAGAAGGAAAGATGTCAAACTGAACCAATACACAGCATGAACCTTCTTTTCAGGCTCACATAGAGTAACAACACAATTTTTCTTAGTATTCAAGGTCATCTTGACCTCATTTAATCCTTAAGTGTGTATCACAAACACCTATTTTTCTTGGAAAATGATTTCCAGGCTACACAGAAAAATGTCAAAGTCAGTCTATCAGAAGTTTAGAGTTATCAGGAGAGATGAAAAACACAGTATAAACAAAATTACTTATTTTTATAGGCTACACTCTAATTACACAGCAAGAGATGAGAAATGTGTCTATTGATATAATTGCTATCTTACATGTATTTTTATTTTTTTCTAAGAATTACAAAGGGAACTACGAGGGCTTCAAAATATTTTAAAGAGATAAATTTAAATGGTCTTAAATTTTGGAAGCATATCATATCTGGGTGTGATACACATGGTCTCTTAAGAATTTTTTTTTTAAATATATTTTATTGATTTTTTACAGAGAGGAAGGGAGAGGAATAGAGAGTCAGAAACATCGATCAGCTGCCTCCTGCACACCCCCTACTGGGGATGTGCACGCAACCAAGGTACATGCCCTTGACCGGAATCGAACCTGTGACCCTTCAGTCTGCAGGCCAACGCTCTATCCACTGAGCCAAACCGGTTAGGGCTCTTAAGAATATTTTTAAGATGAGGTTAGCAAACTACAGTCTATTGGCCAATTCTGGCCTATCACCTGTTTTTGTATTTCCCTGAGCTATAAATGGTTTTAATATTTTTAAATGATTAAGGAAAAAAATTGAAAGAAGAATAACATTTTATGATATGTAAAAACTATCTTATATCCAAATGTTAGTGTCCATAAATAAAGTTTTGTTGGAGCACGGCCCACCCATTTGTTATGGGCTGGCTTCATTCTTGCCTCAATGGTAGAGTTGAGTAGTTGTGCAAAGCCTAAAGTATTCACTATCTGGCCCTTTCCAGAGAAAGTCTGCTAACCTTTAAGAGCTTTCCCCTAAAGAAACACTGTGGCCTTCTATAAACTGAAGACTTCTTCACAGAGATTTCTTGTGTCAGTGACACATCATGCTTTAAAAAATAATAAAATGCACAAATTTAGTAAAGATAATACAGTTGCCATATTATAAAATAAAATGATAGACAGGCCTTTATTAGATTTAGGATGTTTCTTTTCCCACTTTATGTCAGTGTAGCATAATTATTAAGAACATGTGCTATAGGGCCATTCTTTTTTCTTGAATCTTGATTAGCTTTCTGTGACCTTGGGCTAGTTACTTAACCTCTCTTAGCCTTGGGTTACATATAAAACAGAGTAATAATGGTACCAACCTCATAAAGTTATGGTGGTATTAAGTGGGGTAATTTTTTTTGAAAGGTATTTAGCTTGGTACCTGATATATAGTAGGTGCGCGATAAGTTTTTTTTATAATTATCATCATCATCTGAAAATGTCACTTTCTAACCAGAAGTGGTTATCTGTTCCTGGTACTGTCTATGACTTCTGTTTTGACCAGAAGTCCATAAAACCCTGCTTAAGTTATTTCTTAAGAGGACAGCAAAGAGTCCCTCTCTCTGCATTATCTGCAGAAAAAGTGTCCCGGATGCATGAATTCCAGCATGTACTTGACAGGAAAGTGGAAAAAGGGAGGCATAGAATGTCTAGAAACAAAAATCACAGGGACAAAAGGCGTTGGAAGGCTGGTCAGCACCTGGATTAAATTAGTGAGTAGAAAGTTGGGACTTTCCATGTGAGACTCCATTTCAACTTTTCTATGGAGTGTCCACAGTTCCATGACAGGCTATTGATGAAAGCTCTCCGATTTAGTAGCTAAAGTCCTTTTTTTTTTTAGAGTTTTGGTCATTCTACCCATTTTATGTTCGGTTAACTCAGCCATTATGTTTTTATTACTTGATGTCTTAGTTGATGTTTCCAACCAGAAACACTCTTAGAAAATCATGAGGGTGTAATGCTGCAATTCTTGGAAAGTTAGTGATTTCTTTCCTACTGGGTTTGCTGCTATCTCTTGCCTGAGCTGGCTTTGCCCTTAGAATCACGATGACTCTGGATTAACCAGATGAACCAGAGCCTAGCAAACACATGATTCCTCAGCTGTGATGCTACCTCCTTTTTCTCTCCTCATCTCTAAATAGGTCGTGACCAGCCTCAGTAGAGGTGGTCTGTTTTGTTCACCAGAGGCTGTCTGGAGTCAATTGTTAAATAGCATGAGGAGGAGAACCTTCTTTAGTTGCCCTTACAGAATGAATCTCTGCCTAAAGAGAGCTATTGGGAGACTAATCCCCTAAGATAAACAACTCATCTCCTTATCCCCCAAAATCATTGACAGAAATATCAGAATTCCAGAGGCAGTAGATATCTCCACAATACAGCCATGAAACAGATTTTCTATAGGTCCATTTCCTTTTTTAGGAAAAAAAAAAGTCACAAAGAACAGTTTGTACAAATCTCTCTTGTTTTTACTTCCTGTGTTTTGTGTCTGGACATACTAGTATTGTTTTGAAGAAAATCCTTCGAGATTTTATCCTTGCTCCTCAATGATGGTTGAACAATTCTGGTTTATGTGGTTTAGCCACTCAAAGGATGAATAAAATGTTTCAGCATTCTTACATAATCTAGTTGGAATCATGGTGAAGACAACAAATGCAAACACCCACACATCCACCTGGTGTGTGAGGATAAAACCCCAAACCGTGATGCCCACATGCATGCCTGTGAGTAGAATGGGGTGGGTGGCCTCTGTTTACTGGTAGGAGTAGCTCTCATCATCGTATTCCAGCTCATCTTCCTCATCATCATCCAGCAGCCCATACTTAAATTTCCGGTAGACAGTGCCATCCTGGCCCATGTAGACTATGTCATCCTCGTCATCCTCATCAAAGTCACGGTCCCTGTACTCAATCACCTGATCCTCTTCAAAGTTGGTGCTCTCGCGATAGTTGCTCTTATAGGAGGAGTAAGACTTGCTAGGGTCAGCCAGCTTTTCATAGCCCTTCTCTACTGGCTGGGCTCGGCCCCGCGATTTCCTCCAGACGATCACAGCTGCCCCAATCAGAAGCACCAGCATAATAAAGGAGGTGATGAACAAGGCTGTCTTCGAATGCTCAGGGGCAGACCCGATCTCACTTGCTGGAAGGATGCATTCGTCTGTTGGAAGATGACCCCAAAGGAAGAGGGGAGAGAGAAAGGATGAGAAAAGATGGAATGGTGAAAATTAGTTTCTGACGTTAAGAACTTCACCTTTATCTTTTAAATCTAAAATGGTAGAATCCCTCTCTGATTTTCTTAACAGTCACACCACTCTGCAGAACTGTGGTGTGTGTTGCATGAGAGTCCCAGTCTATGTCAGATGATGCCATCAAACCCTTCCAGAATGAAGATCAGTTTGAGATCCAAGGAGCCCCGGCATCCCCATACTTCATGGGTCAGTCGCCAAGTGTCCAACCATACCAATCGATTCTCCTGTTTCTCTTCCCAGAAGAACATTCTATCTGGGGCCATGATTCACTTAATGCTAAATAAATAACTCTTACTTTTGCTAAGACTGTGTGTCCCCTCCTCAGCTCCTCTTAAACCTGGTCCAACATGATTGTGCCACCATTCAAAGACAGGAACAGATTATTTATAAAACCATTGACTCTTATTTCTGTGTTGGGCTATAGATTTATTTAGGTCAACCTGTTACTTGACAGCTGAGAAAACTGAAGCCCATAGAGAGGAAGTGCATTTTCACATTGTCAGAGCCAAGAGCTTGTTTGTGGAGCAATCAGAACTCAAATCCAGGGATCCTAACCTTCATGCTGTAGTCTGGAGAGGTTAGGATAAACCACTCTGACAAATTTTTTATTTCTTGGCATTATATGGCCCTAATAAGGCAGAGAGAGAAGAACCACCTTTAAATTTCTTCTATCATAATTAAGATTTCTGAAATTGAGAGTTTTTTCCCCTGTCATTCACCAGCCTCTGTTTTGATGCATTAATTGAGAACATGGAGTAACCAAAATTGTCACAGAAGGAAAGATTAAACCATAACTTAAGTGATTAGTTCATTTTTCTTACTTTTCACCCCTAATTCAGATGGTATGATTTGAGTAAGTTACATACATCTTTTTTCTCTTCTTTCACCCATCAAAAATGAGAATGTGCAAGAAAGTATGAAAGAACTAGAGAAAAAACTAGCAGGCCATTTTGGATGTACAGGCTGAAATACATACTGTTTTTCATAAACATTTTTTGAACCACCTGATTCTGACTCCAGGATCTTTTATGAGAGGCTCTAGGTACATTGTACATGCTAGCTTAATATATAATGCTCCTGCCAATTGTTTTAAGGGCAATTATTTTTGCTTATTAGATATTGGCTGATTATATCTGATTCATCACCACTATATCTTACTCTTTTTGTTGGAGGCAGTACACTAGTGATAAAGAAGTTTTCTATTTTATTGTAACTTTCATTCTCATGGGATTTTGCCCATTAAGCAGAGTTCCTTCTAAAGTAACAGCACTATCATTATGACTTTCATTAGCAATACAGCACAGAATTTTCCCCTGGAGGAAATATTAAAGCACCAGAGAAATGGATAAGCAATCGGTGTGTGGTACTTGGCGATAAATACTGCCTGAGGCAGGAGAATCAACAAAAGACCTTTCAATTACTAGGGCGCCATATGCAATCACGTCTTATGGTTCCACAGTCTTAAGTCTGCAGAGTCAGGGTCGGCCTCTGTGATCTGGTTTCTTTGAAGGAGCAAGTGTCTCAGTAAAGAATGAGTAGGTAATCAAGAGTGTTTAGACTTCTGCAAAGTTGCCCCAGGTGGATCTTTGAGAGCCACAGAAGCCCAGGAAAGCTGACTAACTAATTTTTAATAGGAGCAGGCTTACAGAAACTCTGCACCCAATATGCACACACTTCTGGTTCCATTTAAAGCCATCGGTGTAATTAGGATTATTATTCTTAGCCGACACAGCATGAGTATTAGGCAATCAGACCCTGAAGGTGGATGTATATGAGGAGCTGGAGAAATCAGCTGCTTGTGGGGGTGGGAAAAATGAAAGAAGGAAATCATTAGTTTTTGGAAAGATGCTATTTAGAATTTAATTGAAAAGGCTGATTAAAACCATAAAATAGAAATGGCTAGTAGCAGTTATGGATCCAGGATATACTTCACTTATAAATGGACATGCTCCCGATAGTATTATGTCTGTTTTTGTCATGATACATCTGAAGCCCATGGAAATGATTTGCTTCTGGACTAGAGATTATATTTTAAGAAAGTATTTTTTATTTTTAAAAAGAAATCACTCCATTTGAGGTCTTTCTAAGTTTGTGGCCAATGGGAACCAAGTACCCTTACGAATTGAGTTGGGAGTGGGAGACATTGTGGGGACTTGGAATTGGTTAAAAGGTTTGTTTCCTTTTAACCTTCAATGAAAGTTCATTTTTAAAATGCTTTAGGTCTCTAATAGGAAGCCTAGATTTGGGTTGATTTCTACAGAATGATTCTTTATGATAATACTGCCACCAGCTTTCTTGATAGTTGATTCTTTTCCTTTTTTTTCTCGGAAGGGAAGAATAAAAAAGTTATAAAGTAACATTAGAAAGATAAAATTCTAGGCCTATTTGAGCTCTAATGTTGGAGGAAGCACAGACGTGGAAATAAATGCAGGCTTTGCAATCCAAAGCGCCCAGATTCTAATTCCAAATGAGCCTCTTAACATTGGTGTGGACTTGGGCATGCTAATTAAACCCCTTGAGCCTCAGTCTCCTCATCTGTAAAATGGGACTAATAATATCTACTTATATGAGATGATGGACAGAAAGTTTCAAGTACAGTAGGCACATATCAGGCCTCAATAAAGAGGTAGCCCTATTGATTCTTCTGATCTCTCTATCCTTCTCTCTCTCCTGCTCCCGTCAGCTTCCTGAGGCCATGCCCTTCCTTTGCAGGCTGTTCGTCCTCTCCTCTCACCTGTGGTATTCTGGCAGTCACAGCAGTCCTGGGTATCGGTGGGATCAGAGGTGTTGCAACAGTGCAGGCAGCGGCTGTCATCCATGACCAGCAGCAGGTTGGCGGGGCACATAGTACAGTTCTTGGCGCCAGGTCCTTTGCATTCTATACAGCTCTCGTGGCATTTTTCACAGTTAAATTTCTCCCCCTGTTAAGATCAGGAAATTCCTTTTGAGTGGGGAGGGAGGCATATCTTATCTCTATAAGGAAAGAAGGCATATGGGGGACAGCAAAAAGGTGATCTGTTCTGGGTGAAAGACCGAACCAAGTCTTTGTACTCGGATGGAATCATTGCTGGCCCTTTCCCTCTGAGATCTGCTGGTAACAATAATGAAAGAACAGGCTTGAAGACCAGCTCAGGTTACAAACTGATAGCTCATGTGCTGTACCTGAGCAAGGACAAGTTTTGTCTGGCCCACCCTACACCGACCTTCACAGTTTAAAATTCTTTTTCATTCATTGCCCACACTTCAAAGGGGGGTTATTTCACATGTAAGTTTGCACTAAGGTTTTCTTTGATCAAGCACCCTTGACTCATTATCTGCCTGGACTCTCATTCTGTCCTAGAAAAATATAAGTTGTGATTGTTTAACTAAAACAGCTAAATCCCCATGAGAAGGGAATTGAGAGACGAGGAGAAAGTGGCCTCCCTCCTGACAAGTTGCTCCTTCCCTAGTGCTGGAAACATAGACGGGGGAAGATAGTCACTTTGGAAAGATGATGTAACAGAAAAAGAAGGAATGGACAATGTCTTTGTTGAGCACCTTGTCATGTTTTAGGCACTGAGAAGGTGCTTTCTCAGCTATTATTATCTCATCAAATCCTGGATTAGGAGACAGAAACCCTAGGTTGAATTCTGGCTTTGTTACTTACTATTCATGTGGTCTTTACCAACTCTTTAATCTCTCTGAACTTTCATTTCACCAAAGTGTAATAAGGGCTACTGTCAGAATATAAAGAGCTCATATGTGAATATGTTGGGTCATGCTTATTTCACCATGGAGAGATTTACTCAACTTCTAAAGTTTGGAAACATAATCAAGAAGTTAGCAGACTCAGAAAACCCATGATTTCTAGGCAAGCAAGTGAAAATACATCTTAATACACAGTGAAGGGGGTAGAAGAAATGAAAAGATATCAGCTATGGAGTTCTGACTTTATTCAGATGTTCCACGTTAAACAGCAATGAGGTAAAAAAGATATTTCTAATTTCTGACATAATGTTCCTATGTTACCCTGAAACTACTAAGGTCATGAGCAATGAATGTAGTTAATTCTGAAGCCCTCATGACTTAACTTCCCCATTATATATCTCAGATATTCTCAAATGAAAGCTATGGGTGGCTAGCACCATTAATCCATGATTCAATGTAGAAGATTTAAAAAGATTAAACCTGCACAGTATAGGAATTTTAGGCCTGTTTTACTTTGCCTAGAATGACAGGCAGAAACCAGTTCATTTTGTGGAATGGCAGAAGGCACACTATGCCCAGCTCTCAGTACCTCTCCCACTCTGTATTCCCCCACAAGACAGTCCGAGGTGCAGATTCCTCCCGCCAGGTGGTAACTCCACACACAGGATAAGCACTGCAACGCTCCTTTTCCTGAAAGAAAAAAAAATGATTCTAAGTTATGAGACTGACCTTAGATTTCAACCTCTGACTTGGTTCCAGACACGCAGGAGCATGGAATATGTTAAGGAAATCGAAATGGAAGGGTGAAATGATTGAGGATATGAAAAGTCTGCAAAACACCAAGTGAAGACCATTAGTTATCCAATTAGTTAAATTGTTGTAAACTTTCAGTTTGGAAATGGAAGATTTAGAGATGACAGATCTTTTATTAAAGCAAGAGGATTTTCTGAGAATGAGAAATCATATAGAATGTTTATAAAACCTTTATTTATTATTCTGCTTATTTTTAACTAGTATAGAGTACAAGGATTATACCAGCTGATTTTGGGGATTCCCCAAACTCAGTAATTCATGATTAGGCAGTTCCTAATCGAGAAACATCACCAGACTTGAAAGTTAAAATGCTGGGGCTAAAAGAATTTAACAGAATATTTTGTCTAATCGTTCTTAATTTTGAGGATGGTGGTGATAGTTTCCTTTGAAATTCTCCTGAAAGCTATAAACTTTCTTCTCAGAAATTTGACATCCTATTTATTTTTTTAAATAAATAAAAACTAAGGCTCAGATATGTGAAGTCACTCATTTAAGGTTACACAGGTAATAATGGCTGAGTCACAATTCTAATTCAGGTTTTTTAACTCACACTCCAGTGCTCCTTCTATCATACTATCTACCTTAACACATGAACCACCAAGTAGAGGAGGTCCGGATCTATAGATCCTGTTTCCTGTGGAGGTAATACCCCTCTCTCCTAATTCAGAGACCCCAAGAATGACTGGCTCAAGCATTTCTTTCTATTCAAATATCAAGGGATAACTAAGAGTTTGGAGATGGGAGACCTGAGCTCTAAGAGTCTCAAAACAGAAGCCTAGAGACAGACAGGACATGGAAAGTGCCTGGTATTGTGAGTTGGAATTTGTATAGGTCTTCCAATCAGAAGAATATTGAAAAGAGTGGTTAGTTAAACTTGAACTAGAACTTTGAGTCCTGTCCTTTAGATTCACTATGGAGATGGCACTTCGTGTCTGATCTGTGAACTCAATCATTTATAAAGTTTCTATGGAAAAATGAATTCTGAGCTATGAACAACATCTTAGAGAATAAACCTTTATTGCTCAACTGCTTCAATTAGGGCTGTCTGTCATGATATAAATTCAAAGCCATTCTATTTTTATTTTACTTCTAGCTTTATACAGAATTTCCTACATGTCTGGGACATAACTCTAGTCTCTGATGAAAGAATCAATCTTCCCCTACTTCATTTCTTCCTACCCTACATTTTTCTAAAATATAGTTTACATGTCTTATTCCAATTTTAAAATAAAGAAGTGTGGGGTTTGTTTTTCTTTATGAAGAGAAATTTAGGGTAGGAAAAATTAAAAGAGGAAAAAAGGGTTACAAAATGTGTACCTTAAGGTTGGTTAAATTTTTTTCAGAAGACCAGCAGCAATTTGGCTGAGGCCTAGGTCCTGGGCAGTCCCCAAAGGCACTACCTGTCACCTTGGGTAACAAATCAGTAACTCCCTTTAAATCTCTTACATTGAATTTATTGCAAAATCTCCACACTTAGGGCACCCAGAGTCTTTTGCAAAAGGCAGTTTGTTAATTTCCAGAATTTTTTCTCTGTTTTCAAGTTTAACACCCGACATTTATCATTGCTTCTAAGGATCTGCAGGAGCCTTGGGACCTATAAAGACAGCTTTGGTATTTCCTTAAAATTCAGAACAGCTCACCATCTGCTCTACCTTGGACTGACCCCCATGGGATGAATTCGCCAAGGCAGAGCAACCCTGGAGGCTGTTTATGGCATTATTTACACAGAGAGAGGCAGCTTGGGAGAGTTAGGGGGGTTGGGCTACCCAGCCTGGATTTTTATTTCAAACAATTTTGTGAGGAAGATAAATAAAAAGTTAAGTGTGTAAAGGCAAGGAATAAACTAATTGTGGAGGAACCAATTGCATACAAACATATATACTTATTAGGCCTGGTGTGCCCCCTCCCCCCAATGCTTTTAAACTTCTTAAAAATACCCTAATATTAGTAGGCAGTCAAATGTGAATAAAATAAAATCTAATTGGCAAATTACTTATGTAGGTTGCTAAATTTTCCTTTTATTTTTCATGCATCCTCAGTTCTTAGTATGATGACTTTTTAAAAATATATTTTTATTGATTTCAGAGAGGAATGGAGAGGGAGAGAGAAAGGTAGAAACGTCAATGATGAGAGAAAGTCATTGATGGGCTGCCTCCTGCATGCCCCACACTGGGGACTGAGCCCGCAACCCTGGCATGTGACCTCACTAGGAATTGAACCCCGACCTCCTGGTTCATAGGGCAATGCTCAACCACTGAGCCACAGCAGGCTGGGCTGATGACTACTGTTTTAAGAAGAAAGGAATTCATACTTTTTTCAATCAGTATACAGCTCAAGAGAAAACCTGTCCTCAAATTTTGTACACGCAAATCCTATAGTTTCCAATAGGGTTTACTTTTGGCATTGTACATTCTATGAACTTGGACAAATGTATCATCATTATAATATCATCCTAGAGGCCCAGTGCACAAAATCTGTGCACTGGGGAGGGGGGGGGAGGGTGTCCCTCAGCCTGGCCTGCACCCTCTCGCAGTCTGGGACCCCTCAGGGGATGTAGCAGTGTGCCAAGTGGCAGGCGGCCAGGGAGGAGCCCGGATCGGGGCTGGGTGCCGCTCACGCTCATCCTGGCCCACTGTGCCTGCTGCCACAGTCAGGAGAGGCTCCTGCTGCGGCAGGTGCGCTCACCAGCTGTGAGCCTGGCTTCTGGCTGAGTGGCGCTCCCCCTGTGGGAGCACACTGACCACCAGGGGACAGCTCCTGCATTGAGCGTTTGGCCCCTGGTGGTCAGTGCGCATCATAATGACTGATCATTCTGGTCATTCCACCATAATGGTCGCTTAGGTTTTTATTATATAGGCTAAAGGCCCAGTGCACGAATTCATGCACCAGTGGGGTCCCTCGGCCTGGCCTGTGGGATCGGGCTTAAACCAGCTCTCTGATATCCCCTAAGGTGTCCTGGATTGGGACAGGGCACAGGCCAGGCCAAGGCACCCCAGCAGCACATGATTGGGGCCGGAGAGGGACTCAGAAGGGCTCCAGGGCGTGTCCGGCTCATCTCACTCAGTCCCGATCGGCTGAACCCCAGCAGATGTCAAAGACTTAGAACAAAAAAAGGGAATGTAAAATATCTCAAAACAATTTTATGTTGATTGTATATTAAAATACTATTTTGGGTATATTAAAGGAAATATATGAAATTAATTTTACCAGTTTTTTTTTTTACTGTTACACCTAGATGTAAAGTTATATGTATGGCTTGCGTTATATTTCTATTGGGTACTGCCGAAACATCATGCTGTGAGAGACACAAAAGACATTCTGGGACTGGTCTGAATAGCACATGACCATTCCCAGGTTAGTGTGTGTAGATTGTCCACTAGTCTAAGCACTTTCTAGCTAAGAGTAATTTAATGTGTATATTCCTGAGAGTCACTCTCTCCATTTTTTCCCCCTTCTCGGTTTTAACACATTTCTTTCAGTCTAGGCTGCAACCACCAGAGCAAGTGGGGGCTGTGACTCTGGCCCCGGGTTGTAGAGAAATGCAGGGATCCTGGCCCAGAGCAGAGGGAAGCGCCTCCGACCTGAAGACCAAGACCAACCATATCCCTCAGGCACCTCAGTCCGTTAAGCAGCCCCGCAGTCAGGGAGGGACTGGGGGTTCCTCCCACTGTTGTAGTTTCATCGTTTCTTGTAGTTTTTCCTGCTCCTCCAACTGTAGCTTCTTTTTAAAAAAATATATATTTTATTGATTTTTTACAGAGAGGAAGGGAGAGGCATAGAGAGTTAGAAACATCGATGAGAGAGAAACATCCATCAGCTGCCTCCTGCACACCCCCTACTGGGGATGTGCCCGCAACCAAGGTACATGCCCTTGACCGGAATCGAACCTGGGACTCTTCAGTCCACAGGCTGATGCTCTAGCCACTGATCCAAACTGGTCAGGGCCGACTGTAGCTTCTTGAGCCTTTTCTGACCGGATGGAGTTCACGGCCCCTCTGTTTTTGTTCCCTCTTGCAAAGCTCCTCTTTTTCTTTCTCCAATTCTAGCTGTTTCCTTTCCCCTGCCCTCTGCCTCTTTGTCTCGGAGCTTTTGTTCTCCTCTTCGCTATTCCAGCTGCTGAAATTTCTGCCGTCTGGGTTGTGGTTTTAATTGACGCACCACCCAGGGGTTTGGTCGGAGGAAAGAAGCCAGGCCATCGCGGCCACGCCACGCCCTGGCCTCCCACGTGAGCTCCGTGCACCACGCCCTAGCATTCCACTTGAGCTCCTTGCGCCAAGCCCTGGCCTTCCACGTGAGCTCCCTGCCCAAGCCCTGGCCTTCCACGTGAGCTCCCTGCGCCAAGCCCTAAGCTTTCCACGTGAGCTCCCTGCGCCAAGCCCTAAGCTTTCCACGTGAGCTCCCTGCGCCACGCCCTGGCCTCCCACGTGAGCTCCCTCCGCAGGCGCTCTCAGTTGTGAAGCTGACGCACTCGCAGTACCGGGCGCCGTACAGGACGTGCACCTGGAAGCATCCCGTCTGTCATCTCGCGGTTGGGGGTCCGGCATGGGGTGTCCACGTTGCGCATCTCCCCACACTCCGCCAACACCCTGACCACCTCGCTGGGCTTCTCTGAGCCCGACTCCTTCAGGGCAGTCCCTCCTGGGAAGTCGCGTAGGCCCCTCTCCTGGCTGCATCGTGGAAGAAGGAGCCCCAGGCGTGGCTGGTGGGGACATCGATTTTGAACTTGGTGGCGAGCACCTTGAGGACAGCCTTGCCGTGGGAGCAGGCCAGGAGTGACTGGACTAGACTCTTGCTCTCCACCCCGCCCTTGAAGCGCATGCAGGCCACGGTGCCCTTGGAAATCCGGAGGGCGGGCGCCTGGTGGTGGTGGTAGCCCCTGCGCTCAGCCTTGCGTTTTCTACAATGCAACCTCCCAGCTGGAGATGGCCGTCCTGCTGCTTCAGCTGCGGAAAGGCCATGCTGATGGTCATCTTTGTGATGGGCGTGAGGTGGAGGCCGTACATAGGGCGGACCTCCACTGTCCGAGACGGGTCAAGGACTATGGTAGCTGCTGCCACAGTGGGGCTCTGCCGGGGTCCCAGGCTGCTGCACTGCCTGGAGCTCACTGATGTCCCCACAGGACCCCAGCAGGTATGGCTGCCCTTCCTGGAGCTGATGGAACCCACCGCCTCCGCCTGCCCATGTGACAGTGCTCAGTGCTAGAGCTACAAAGGTAAGATTAATTTGTGCCTTTTCGGACCTCAGTTTACAGTGAGGGACAAAGAATAAGTAAACTGTTACAAAATATGTCCTCTGTGCTTCAGGGACTGAAAGATCAGATGGAGGCCTAAAACCAGGACTACAGGCTTTATTAGAGGAGAAGCACCTGCCGGGCTGTCTCGCAAGGGGAGAACAGCAACACGTGCAGGGGTGGGCACGCCTTTTGAGGGGCGGAATGGGAAGGGGTGGGGGGCTTAGTGTACTGGGGCACACTGATTGGTGGCTTACTGTATTGTCCATATATAGGACAAGGTTAGGGTATTTGGTAGGTGTGGATTGGTGGTCCAATGTATATTCCATATAAGGTACCTGGTTAGTCACTCAGGTATTTCTGGGCTGCAGGTTACGTCACACCCCGCCCACCAGTTGGGGGAAGGGAGGATCTATCAGGGACCTTGTCTGTCTTGTTCACAGTTGTCTTCTTACGTAGTTGTTGAAGAATATAGAGCAGTGGTTCTCAGCCTTGGCTGCACATTAGAATCACCTGGGAATCTTTTTAAAAATCCTGATTTCTGGGCCTCATCCTCCGGAAATTCTGTTTCTTTGTTATGGGGTGGGGCCACAACATTAGTAACAAAGAAACAGAATTTCCGGAGGATGAGGCCCAGAAATCAGGATTTTTAAAAAGATTCCCAGGTGATTCTAATGTGCATCCAAGGTTGAGAACCACTGATATAGAGGGTGCTGATGACATTGTCTGGGCCATAGTGCTGGACAAATATTTGTTGAATAAATAGATGAATGAACGCAGAGGACTAAAGGAACACAGAGTGGAGGTGGTTAGGGAAGGCTTTTTTAGAGGAAATGCTAATTATAAAATTTATATAGAAGAAGGGCTAAGAATAGCAAACATAATATAAAAAAAAAGATGACAGGAATGTATCCTACCAGCTGTCAATTGAAATATTGTAGGAGGTAGGGACCTAAGAAATGTCCAAGTCTGTAGAGAATTTTTATGAGTTTACTTGAGCCAAACTGATGATAATTGTTGGGACGTAAAACCTCAATAGGTTGGAAAAATGCTCTGGAGAATAGCGGTTTTGCTGCTTATGTTGTACTTTAGGATGAAAGGAGGAGACATTAGGAGGGTTATGTGAAATCCGTTGGTGATAGTTAAAGGGATGGGAGAAAGCAAAGTGGGGAAATCTCTGGGATTGATAAAAAGGCAAAATAGAGAAACACATACTTCTTTACATTGGTGGGTACAGGATAATTAATACTTAACATTTATAGCACATAGAAGTGATATTCAGGAGCAAGATTATAGTGAGGGATCTGTGGTCTTGTGCTCTGGTGCAGGCAGTTGTGCCTTGAAGGGTCTGGAAAAGGAGTACTCTGACATTTCAAAGTTATGCTATCTTAGATGCAAAAAGACAATAGACAGGCTCACTTAAGGTAAAGACTGACCTTTGTCAAGGAAGATACTGGCCTAGGACATGACTACCCTTTATGACTCTCTTTTAGTTAGAAATTCTTATGTTCAAATCATCGTATGTGGTTACTTTAGATCTCTGAGTTTTTTGTGTTTTTTTTTTAAAAAAAAAATATTTTATTGATTTTTTACAGAGAGGAAGGGAGAGGGATAGAAAGTTAGAAACATCGATGAGAGAGAAACATTGATCAGTTGCCTCCTGCACACCCCCTACTGGGGATGTGCTTGCAACCAAGGTACATGCCCTTGACCGGAATTGAACCTGGGACCCTTCAGTCCGCAGGCCAACTCTCTATCCACTAAGCCAAGCCAGTTAGGGCAAGTCTCTGAGTTTTTTTAAGGCCCTCCATGCAGGACTCCCCTCAGCTAGTTAGCTTTATGATGTGGCCCTTTTTTTATCCAGAGAGTTATCATGGATTCATCATGATCACATTTCTCTGTCAAGCTATGGAGGAAAGTGAGCAGATAGGGATTTTAGAAAGGTCACTCGGTACTATTGTACAGGATGACCTGGGGCGGGAGGGAGAGCACAGTGGGTCCATTAACAGAAAGAGTAAATATCAGAGGAAACCCAGGTTGTGTTTGCTCTGGGACATGTTGATTTTAAGGATCTCTGGGACAGATAAGTAGGTATCCGGAAACTCGGAATGGAGCTTGGGAGAGTTTGAGGCAGATTTCTTAGGTAGTTGTTGAAGTAATGAAAATAACTTTCACTGGGGAGAAAAGATTCCAAGATCAACAGGTAGAGAAGGAGGTGTAAAACACTTCCTGGAGGAGACAATACAATCTGAAGAGGCAGCGGTGTGGTACAGGAGTAGCCCAGGTTAGAAGGCAGATGCAGAAGCTGAGAGAATACAGAGGGTGCTGATGCTGGAGGACTGGTTATGAGGTTGTCAAGCAAAAGGACCAACCAAAGGTGGGGGGGAAGCAAGAGGGGCTAAGCAGGAAGGGAAACTTTGTATTTTTCCATTCACACGTGCAAAATGATAGATACACGCTCACCTTTGCATTCATGGCAAGTCGGATGGCATCTCTCACAGGTCTGTGTCTTTTGGTCTGCATAGTAATGATCTGGGCAGGTGCGTCGACACTCGCCCTTGGAGTGGAGCAGAAAGAAAAATGTATCGCAAGACAGGCAGTCGGTGGGCCTTGGGCCCCTGCAGGCCTTGCAGCTCTTGTTGCACCTCTCACACCGTCCAGTGGAGTTTGCTGCATAATATCTGCAACCAAGGAGGGAAGCAAAGACAATTCTTTTTTTCTTTTGAGAATTTCTATGAGTTTATTTGAGTCAAACTGACGACATATGCTGGGGAACAAGTTCCCAAATGTTCCTGTAAAGACCATATTCTAAGCTTTGGAAAATCATGGTTAGCCATACAAGCTTAATTTATAAACTGGGTGAATTACCTTTTCTCATTAGAATTATTACTGACAATGATAATAAATCTAATGATTCTCAGTTTTCTTATCTGTAAATTAGGCATTACAGCCTCTCCCCTGCTATTTGTGAGAATTGTTAGATAACACATATAAAGGACTTAGTTCTTATTACATACTAGAGGCCCAGTGCATGAAATTTGTGCACAGGTAGGGTCCCTAGGCCTGGCCAGTGATCAGGTCTGATCAGGTTCACCGCCTCCCCGCCTCCTCCTTCCCTCACTCCCTCAGCGCCCTGCGGCCACCACTGGGGTCGCCTGCCATGTTCTGCGCTGCCCCCTGGTTGTCAGCGCATGTCATAGCGAGTGATTGAACTCCCGTTCTCCTGGTTGAACTCCTGAGAGGGCACTTTGCATATTACCCTTTTATATACTAGTATATAGATAGAAGAAGATAGTAGTACCACAGTAATTATTTACTACCTTTGCCTTCTATATATCCCTGTGTACTTGAAAATTTGAGCTTTAAGTTGTGTTGAATGGGATCAGAGAATGGAAGACATTTTAAATGTACCTCTGAATGGTTCTTCTAATTTCTCAATATAAAAAACATCTTGAAATAGGAAGTGGCATAAGTGATGTTGATGGTTTCATAATAATACATGTAACCTCTATTTAAAAGATTTTTGGACACCAAATGGAACAATAATCACTGTTCATTACTTTTTTATTATATACCTGATAGTACACTAGGGACTTCATAAACTTAATATTTCACCTTATTGAACCTAAAAATGAAACACTAGAGTGTGGCAGTTAGGAGCTTGCCCTTTGGAACAATTTTACATGGGGTCAAAGCCCAGCCAAACCACCCCGGAGCTGGCTTGAGCAAGTCACACAACATCTCTGTATCTCAGGTCTGTAATATGAGGCTAATGTTAGTACCTAAAATTAAACAAGTTATTACTGAGAAACTTGTTAAAACAGTGCCTGACACATTATAAGTAATTAATATATTAATATATATTAGTGATAATTATGAATTTCATAGTTAATCATTTCTATTTTACATATGTAAAAACTGAGGCTCAGAATTTAGACAGTTAGCTTAAGGTCATATAGCTAGTTAAGTAGGACAATGTTATTTTAACTGATCTGTTAAGTAACACTATAAAAAGTGCATTATTTGAAGGTAAATTTTAAAAAATTCACATAAGGTATAAGAGATAAAAGGAATCACTGTCAAAGATGAATTTCTTGAGGTCATTGAGTCATTTTGGCATCTCTGGGCATATGCACCTGAAGCTATTGTAGAAACCCAAAGGTTCAACCCTTGGTTTCTCTGACGCAACGCTATTGGGTCCATTAGTTTTTTTTGTTTTGTTTGTTTTTAAAAATATATTTTATTGATTTTTTACAGAGAGGACGGGAGAGGGATAGAGAGTTAGAAACATCGATGAGAGAGGAACATCGATCAGCTGCCTCCTGCACACTCCCTACTGGGTATGTGCCCGCAACCAAGGTATATGCCCTTGACCGGAATCGAACCTGGGACCCTTGAGTCCGCAGGCCTACGCTCTATCCACTGAGCCAAACCGGTTAGGGCGTAGTTTTTTTGTTTTTTGTTTTTTCAGTTTATTTCAGTGCTACTGACTTGTTGAAAACTAACGCCATGGCTAGATACTGCTGAGTCTGCCTCTACCTAGCCATCCATCACTGACCTGAGTGAGTATACTTGTATCTCAGTGGCCCAGCTTGTGGCAAATTAAATATTGTTTCACCTTGTACAGTTAGGTGAAGAATAGTTACTGAAGAACAATTACAGTGAGTCATTCAGTGAAAGTGTGAGGTATTTGAGAGACAAGAGGATGAGAGGTTAACAAAAGAAAACATCAACCATGAACTGAATTGTTGATAAAGATCATATAAGATTCAAAAGAGAAAGCAATAGGGAAAAGTGAAAATCCATACAGAATGGAAGGAATACACAGGAATGAAGCCAGAAGATCTGATTTTTAGTTTTTACTCCACCATCTACTAGTAGCTGTGTGACTTTGAGTAAGTCATTTAACCTTTCTGAGACTTGCTTTCCTCATCTGTGAAATGGAGAGAATAATATCAACCTCATACAATAGTTGCTGAATAAAATCCTAATGTAAAGATACAGAGTGAGTGGAGATGCTGTGTAAACTCTAAAGCAGCCTACAGACATTCTTCACTAATGTTATGAAGATGAAAAGAATCAATAGGAACTCTGGGAAAAATAATTAAAGGGTAACGCTAAAAGAAAGACAGTGGAGAGTTTAGTGGATCACATTTAGAGTAGAGTGCCAATGCTTGCTTTTATGACTCTTTTGCATAAAGTGTTTGTGGAATCTCTTGAGCCTGTAGCTTTGAGGAGGATCTTGTGCATAAGTACAAATGGTAACTGGGGCCTTCAAGATCCTGCTCTGAGGTCAAACACTAAAATAATTGTGTGTGTTGAGAATTACACACACAGGGTGCAGAGAATTACATACCTGCCTTTCCATGGCAAACAGATTTAACATATGAAGTTTATGCAATGCATGTGGGTCATTGATTTTACAAGAGGAACAATTTCAGTTAAATATCTCCACTTATACCTCATTAATACCCTATTTATTCTCCATTAAAGAGATTTATGGCAACCCATGCCTGTCTCCCAATGGACAACTTCACACACGATGAAACAATTGTCTTCTTAAATCCATGGTCTGCAATCTATTCAGATGACCGAATTATACCCCCTTTTTGTGCATAAGAATATTTATGACTTGATTTGAGGAAGATGGAGACTCTTTATATGGGGTACAGATTTTTTTCAGGCACTTATTAGGATGAAGGGGAAGGGCCAAGGTAGGCAGGTCCAGCCGCTCTCTCGTCTGGCAGAGCCCATTCTGCATCGACCTAGTGTGGCTGGTGTGTTTTGAGGGCTGCAATGTGTGTGCCTCTGTGGTGAGGGTTGTAGTAACGTGTGAAAAAGAAGAGGTGTTTTTCTTCCAGGAGCTTGTCATTTTTTGGGGAAGAGATAGGTAAGAAGAATAAGCTCTTGAAGGTCAAAATCTTTGTCTTACCTTATACATATAAGGTATTCTTCATTAAGTATGTGTTGAATGAAAGAGCAAATGAATGAGGTAAATCAAAACACAAGGCAGTGTATAGCACTAAAATGAGTCATACAAACAGTGATTGCTATAGAACTGAAGAGTTGTGCCAATTTGGGCAAAAGCATTTGGGGAAAGGTTAAGGTTACAGCTTTTCAATCTGAGTCTGAAAACTCTCTGTGCTCTAGGTTAGGGAAGGAAGAGTTAGCAACAGGCCTGTAATCAATCTTTCTCTTCAGCGGGGATGCCTGAGGGTAAAAAAACGATGACCTAGTCAAATCCTCTTCCAAATATGCTTGTCAGAGGCCTTTTGATAAAAAAAAAGAAAAATAATAGAGTTCTTATTGGTGAAATGCTTTTAAAAGAATACATCCATGTGTTTAGGTTGCTTATGGCAATTAAACATGCAACTTGAGAGTTTAAGGGGGGCATGGCAGGTTAGAGAATTAGTGGAGAATTAAATGGAGATATTTAACTGAAAAGTGTTCCTTTTGTGAAAGCAACATTACACATACATTGCTTAGACATCACATATTAAATGTGATAGAACAAATCCAAATGCAGAAAAGAAAGAACCTACGTTCATGGTCTTGAATTTTTCTAAGGGAAGAATGCGTCACCTCTTTCTTGTGATTGCTTTGCAGCCTTTGAATTGTTTTTTTTTTTTAATAATTTTTATTTCTTAAAGTGTTAAAAAGAGTATTACATATGTCTCCTCTTTTTTCCCCCCTTGACATTCCCCCAGCCTAGTGGCAATTCAGACAGCCTCCCAGCGCGTCCCCACCTTTCCTGTCTCATCCAAGCTTCCTCTCCACACGAAGCCATCTTCCTAATCCAGGCCATCATCTGGTTCCTTTGTTCTCACTGTGCAAAGGGTTTGCACTCACCTGACCCTCCCTCTGGGCAGGTGCACTTCTACTGCCCTGTTTACAAACGAGGAAAGTGAAGATCGGAGAGCTTCTGTCATGATGTCAAGGTCACAGAGCTGATGGGTGGCAAAGCTAGGGTCCCCACCCGGGCCATTGAACACCAACTAATAATAACAGCTAGCACCAACTCAGAGCTAACTACATGGCTGGTGTGGGTCTAAATCAGCCGTGGGCAAACTACGTCATCCGGCCTGTTTGAAATGAATAAAACTAAAAAAAAAAAAA